ATTCAGCCATGGATATAGGAGCAGCTGTTATGTTGCTGTAAGGTTCACTCTGGTTTGGGATATGACTTATCTATCTATATATATTTTTATACATCTATCTATCTATACTGGGTTAACTGGTGGTTGTGAGGTTTTTTTCGAAATCGAGTGTTCACTCCTGAATTAAAGTACCGGTATATTAAAGAAAGCTTGCTCGCGCCAAAGTCTGAAACAATTAGGTATGCGGTCTTTTACTCACAAGCCAAAAATAAACTGCAAAATTCGGCTTTAAGAAAACCACGGTTTCTGGTGTTCACTGGGGCATACGTGCCTCTCACGTCAAAAAATAAAGTGCGAGAATCTAGTTTAATTCAAAAAAACTCTGATTTTTGGTGTTCACTGTGAGAAAATTATGAGTTTGTATGTGCATTGCAAGCCAAGAAATAAAATGGAATTCTGGTTGAATTTAATATAACTATTGTTTTTGGCGTTCACTCTAGAAAATTAGAAGTTGACAAAATACTTAAGTTAGTTATCTTTTTGTTATTTTGTTAATGACTCATTTTAAACAGCATAGGTACTCTAATATTTATACTTTTCTCATACCTTTGCTTTATGTTATCGGACTAAAAATTTGAGGTCTAGATCTTTTATCACTATTATTAGCAGATGTCACAAGATTTGTTTATCCAGTCATTTACTCTGGCCCCGGTTGCCGCCACCCAATTTCTTAACAAGACTATAGCTCTTGATGGTGATGGGAATGAAATATGCCTTTCACTCCAAGCAAGGCTCTGCACAAGCAGAGTCCCTGGCATGTAAACAGCTAGGTACTTTATTTTGGAAGGACTGGAATCTTTCCTGTTCTGCATTTTCTGCCCAATGGGTGACATGTTGGGCATGGAATTTGAATCCAAGATTTTTATCCGCGATGCCTTCATAGTTAAATTTTATGCTTCAGCCGCTAGGTCAATTCCCACAGTTTTTATTTGTGCATTGGTGCGGGATGTCCCCAAAATTTATTGATCAATATTCAATTCTTAACTGGTCAGTACCTTTCATGTGCATCGGTCTATTTTTTTTTTTTAATAATCCACCTACGGAGCCACAGAATATTCAAGGCTCAAGCTTTTGTGCTTTGTATTTTTACATAAGAGCTGGGCTTTGGCTCCATACCCTGATTGGGATTTTTAAGTGTGACCACTGTTGAAGCGGTTCAAATGTATATTTAATAATTATCCAAAGCAATAACCAAATAACACATAAGCAACACCAACCGCACTGTGCACCAGCCTACTGAATGCACATGGCCACTTATGATAGGATTTACGTATTTATCCCGGGGGAGAGGAAAGCCAATAAGAGGGCTTAACCATATGGCGAACCACTGCCTCTCGTCCGGTTACCAGATCATGTCGGGTATGGGATTAGTTTTAGGTATTTGTTTTTCGGAAGCATGGACTTGGTGGTGGAGGAAGCCGTAACCGACCAGCGGTTACGTGAACCACCCTAAGACGGCGAGGAGTCCAGCAACCCTCTCGCACATAACTACCCCTCATGGGATTCGAACCTCCGAACCCACACTGGGTAATCAGAGATGCGGTGGCCAGCGTATTCCTAACGCTTAGCACGATGAGCCACACCGCCGCGCCTATGACACCACACCTTCACAGCTGGTTGGTGATGATCAGTCACCTGTAACTGATGACATCAAAGGTCGTGCTCAACCATCCTCAATCACCAATACTAGTTGCCAGAAATACAGTTTACAACCACTACTAAGATCATATCATATCTGCCCAAGTACTGTCTCGTGGAAGCGTGACTCAAATTTCAAAAATTAGTTCAGTATGTATAATTAAAAGTTAACTTTACGATTTGAATTTCTTATATCATTGGCTTAACGCATGCCTGCATTCTGAGTTAATTCGTCATGGTAGTGGTCATACCAAAAAAACATCCTTGGCTCTGAAGCTTTAAAAGCGAAAAATGAAGCGTCAGGGCTGGAGTCAGTTTGAACAGATTGTAGCTTCATAACTGAAAATAGAACCACAGTGATTTCAAACCAGCTTCCCATCCCTGCACTAATACTTGCAAATTCACACAGTGATATCTTGTGCTGATTAACAAAGGTAATTAGCGCAATGTTGATTTAAAATATAATTTTGCAGAAGCAGAAAGGAAACTCGTGATCATTGTGATTTCATGATCATAGCTGGCTCTGAAGAAATCCCAGTTCATAAGAATATTATATCTGTAGGATCTGATTATTTCAAAGCAATGCTGGCTCATAATGTAAGTTACGTTCATTGATGTTTGCTGTTTTTGACTGTTTCCCCTAGACATGCATCATCCCGTCACTGATTTCCCTGTGAATTCAAATTCTAGGTATGATCAGGGATGATTTAGTTCCGTTAGCAGTTCATTCTTAGTATTTCATTTATTCTCGGAACAATTGACCAGTTTGGTCCTTTTCGACTTAATAATGGAGGGATTTGTGCGTGACCAATCGTTATGTGAACCTACTGCCAGGGATGGCCATTTCCGAATACTAAACTATTCCGAATACATTCTGAAATCGAAAATAACACATTTTTGTTTCAGTTGATTAAAACCCAGTAAATTAGGGAATTAGCTTCAATAGAAATATCAGAATGAAGCCACAAACCAACAGTATATGTACACAAAGTAATTGATAGTTTATAGCTATCAATAAAAAATAATAGCAACTTGTTTGTGACACAGTCAGTTTATTAACATTATTCACTTTGTACAAATGACCATATGAAATGATAGCCAAAGAGTTGTCTGACGCTTTCTATCATTGGTACCATGATATTACGATAATAGTCAAGTCTATTGACAAAAATACGACTTGTATTCAGATAATTGTGTATATTTTCTGAGAGTAATAAAATTTATTGGCAATACAGGCAACAACAATCGGAAATCCATTGTGCCTTTAAAAATTATAATATTTAGGCCTGAGGTATTCTACTACCTACCAGTATATTGTTATTATGTGTAACATAATGTTGTGTTTGGAATTAGAAGTAAATTAGTAGAGAATAGATGACCACCACTGCCAGCGCGCAGCCAGGATTTTCGAAATCGGAAATTCCCATTGCCGCCTGTAACACCCACCGCGATTTCGCGCTCGTTAAAAGAGCCGTCTTTTCAGCGTATAATGATCATTCTGTTACGTACAATATTCCATCCATGACAACTACGAGATCTAAAATATCTTTATATATTAATTTAATATGTCCAACGTACATCGCGGTTGCTTCTTCTTACGCCAAAAAAAACATTACTATTTGGTCCACGGCGATCTGTGACCTAAAATTACGAGATAAACTGCCTGATGTATTTAATTTTAATACGTATTTTAGCAATCTTGCCAACTCGTTATCGCCGTTAGAAAAATCTCAAATAATTATATAAAATCCTGTTAAGTGTAGAGTATAATTCATTTCATACAATGAGTATACATATAAAGTTTAGCAGTAAATTAAAAATACATATTCTTCGCCGCGATTATGCCACCTCGACTTTTACAACAAATAATATAACAACGAATATATATTTTTCTGTTGTGCAAAGTGATGAATTTGTGAGTCGTGACCATATTAAAAATGGGCATATTTAAAATGTCTTGCTTTATTAATTTAATTGTCTTCAATTTAACCTGCGGTTGCGTCGACAAAATAAAATCCTCACCACTCTTATATACCATTGCAATCCGCGGTCATAAAAATAAAAACGTGAGATAAACTGTCCGATTAAATATTGTTTTGATCCGTATTTTGCGAATTCGGCAAATATTTAGATGTACTTGTTAACAGTGACTCCGCTCGATCGAAATGCTGCCACTCTGATTATTTTTAGATAAAACTGTTCGAGAAATCCATAAATATGCTGTAATATCTCAGAGTAAAATTTATTTCATCACAATAAAATTGATTGAATATACTTTAGATTAATTTTATTATATACATCCTCACAACCCGGGAAAAAGTCGCGTTTCAAACCTTGTATCGTGTTAACATGAAAATATTCGACGGCAATTTAAAGTAATGGATAATCAGGCAAATCCCGCCATCAATTAGTGACGATATGTTTCTAAACGCCGACCAAACATGTGTGCCAGAGGCACACGAAATTTTGCGATTTTCACTGCCTAGAAAAGAGTTTTTAAATTTTCGCGGCCTCAATAAAACTTATATTGTTTACGGTTTTATTTTCAGTATTCTAAATTGCCGCTTTTCAATCAAAAAGTTGCGTTGTCTTTAGAAACTCGCCGCCGATGAACGTATTTACCAGATTCACAATTCCGTGCGCGTACAAAAATAAAATAAATGTTATCGTTATCTTGGAACAAATTTGTGGAAAATTTTCGTTTTAGAGTAAATAACACAATCGTAAAGGCGTTTACGGGCCTAAATAACACGTTACGCTGATGAGTGATGAAAACAATCACGCGCAAGTTTCTATCGAGAATGTTTTCATTCAACGGAAACGTCTTGAAAGCGGCGTCGAAAATGTGTGACGTCACACAAATATCCGATATTCTTATGAACGTGAATTCCGATATTCGAATGACGAGATATTCGAATACATTCGAATACTTTATTCGAATTGGCCATCCCTGCCTACTGCTAGTAGTTTAACAATCGAGGAGTCTGCACATAATTATATCATATGAAATTTAAACCCACTCATCGCAGAGGTCTCTCAGAAAGCGCATTCCTGAGACCCAGTGTAGCAAATTAAACTTGTCAACTAATCTGTCTGTCCTAATAGGCAATCCCGAGTTTTGCATCCATCAACACGTCATCTTGCCCTCGGATGAAAAGGCAATGTCTATTGATATTGCAATATTCTTTTTCCCTAAAACATCATGTCAGAAATGTTGTGAAAATACCATATCATAGAAGTTAATTAACGCAACACTTGATGTAGCTTTTATCATTGGCTTCATCACACTTCAGAATGCTGAGACAGCGTCTGGTAAAGTGGAAATGAAAGAAGTTGATCCACTATCACTGCAACAATGCGTAGAATATATTTACACTGGTGAATTGTCTACTACTGATGAAAATGCTGAATCTTTGATGTACGTGGCTGAATTACTACAGTTGAAAGGTGATGATTTAAAATAGATCTTTCTTTGAGATCGTACCGAGATTCATTCAATTCTCTGTGATTCAAATTAACCGTACAATCCCCCCACAAATAGAGCTTTTTGGTTTGCATGGGTCTGAATTTCTTTGGTTTTGGTTTGGTTATGTCATTAGTTATCAATTGTCATTCCATGTCAAACAGGGTAAAAACCAAAAACAAAAACAAAAAGAATCTATAAACTATTTATTAAAAACCTATTTAACACTTGAACTTTGTTTGCGTATAATTGTACCCGAAAGTTTCAGTAATCTAAAGTTATTTTCTCTCTAGAATATGTTTCAAATGACCTAGGTTCTGTTTTTGGGCCACCTTGTATGACTCCTCTACATTGCATGTAAAAGTTACAAAAGAACAATATTCAATAAATGTGAGGAGTTGCGGAGACAAGTCAATATGTGTTATTGCTCATAGATAAAAGTAAAAAAAAGACATAATACGCCATGTTTATTTTATTATAACAGATGTCTGTGAAGGCATCGTTGATTCACTTGAAGAAAATCTCGAATCATCTGCAGAATCATTCTTTGTGACAAAAAGAATCGCAAACCTGTACAATTACAAAGAATTGATGCAAAAATGCGAGAAGTTCATGTTGGATAAATTTGAAGAAATTGCAGTTCTTGATGAGTTCAAGGAAATAGAAGAAAAGGAATTTGTTAGATTGATCAAGTCACAAGAAAACAAGGTATTATTAATGATTTGTTAAGGTTGTTTCATTCTGAATAAGACTCCATACAAGTAGTCACTCGTTTAGTGGGGAAAGGTTTTGGGTTCAATCTGGCGAAAGTAAACTTTCCATTAGAGCTCGACCGATATCACTTTTTGACGCCGATACCGATATATCGGCCAACTGGTGGCCGATAACCGATATCGCAATGTCGATATTATTAAAAATCATATTTGAGCCACGCTTTTATGATGCACCTTGTGAGTTTGTAGTTTCGTTTTGATATTTGTTATCATGGCAGTGAGACTTTTATTTAACTAACTTTAGGTAATGCTCGAACAAATGTTATTCTGTAACTTTTCCTGCTACTTCAATATCAGTCTAGCTATTTCCAGGAAAAAGAATTGTTAATCAGACGTTTTTAAATATAACTATGGACATATGTTAAGGGTAATAAAAAATTGTAAATTGATATATTTTAAAGTGAATCGTGATAATGATCCTTCGATATCGTGATAGCATATGTGCAGTTACATGTGAAATTTTTAACAACTTTGTTTCCAGAGACTGTCAATACCTTATTTAGTCAATAATAATGGATTAGGTTTTTATTTTGGAATTTTTAGCAAAATGATAAACAACCATCAATATAGACAAAACTGTTACCCCAGAAATTCAAAATTGAATTTGGGGAGGTCACAAATTCGGAACTGACATTATTGCTTTGAGCTACCTGTACCATGTTTCTATGATCACTAACTCACCAGCTTCCAATCGATTCTATTTATAGAACCACCGTTTAATGCTGTTACTAAATTTGCCTTTTTCTCATTGTGTACTCTCTCAAAAACGTCACTTTATAAAACGTAATTGTTTCTCCAGATAATAACTTTTCAGTTATGACCATGCATGAAATGGCTAATCATAAGACACCTCTATAACGCAAAATGAAAGCGAGAGAAATATTGGGAAACCAGCGCCGTTGCAGCAAGCAGCCCGGCGCTTGCCTAGTATGGCCGATATATATCGGCGGTTTACGGCCGATATGATATACCGGCAAACACGCATTATCGGCCTGATACATCGGTTAGCCGATATATCGGTCGAGCCCTACTTTCCATGATACAAGCAGCCAAAGGGAACTACCTGGCTTAGAATGACGCACTGTTGTACTGTATTGCTTAGCCTACCTTATTTCCCACTTCGGTTAATCTGATAGGATTGGCCTGCCTGTCCTTGAATGCCTGGTTTAGCCTGCTAGACACTGGTTTTATGAATCCAATGAATATTCAAGCAAGGATTTCCAATATTTTACGTGAATGCTGGGCATTTGTCAATGTAATAGTCTAATTAATAGATACAACTGAATATTCCCATGTTCTGCATTCCTTCTAGGCGTCTGAGAGTGTCAAGCTAAAAGCGTTGATATCTTGGATAAAACATGAGCAAATAAATCGCGAAAAACTTCTGAAGAAATTGAACAACTACATTGATTTGCATAAAGTACCTGTGACTTATAGAAGATTCCTTGTTGAAAACGAGGTCAGTTATATTCAAATTGATATATTAAAACCATTCATTATTGCTAGGATATTTGAATATTTTATTAGAATTTTAGCTAACTGATGACTGTGGACTTGAGGTTGGTAATATTGTTTTTTTTTAAACTACCGTGATTTAAAGCCGGAGTTGAAATCTTGAGATTTTTGGTGTCGGAAAATCAGCCTTGTATTGTTGATAATCAAAGTCAAAATTTTAGAATAAAACTCAAAAGAACGCTAAGTTTACTGAGCATTCACAACAAGGCGAAAGTTTTTGTTGCTCAAATTTGATTTTTGCAAGTAAAAAGTAATAGGAATTTTCTTCAACCCGAAGTCGGAATAGTTTTTAAAAGGGTTCAAGAGCGAATGTACCTTTAACAGTCCTACTATCGATTCGTCGACATTCTATTTCTGCAAAAACAATTTTCTTTTCTTATATCATTCAAAATTTATTGTAATACCATAACGCATTTTGGTTGTTTCAGCCGATGGTGAAGTCATGCGATGAATGCTCTCACACGCTATGCATCTCCATGCTGGACAGCTTAAACATTGGTGCTTCAAATGTTCTCTCTGCTGAAAATATAAAACAAGAAGGAAAAGAAGCAAGTAAGTTGAATTAAGATGTACACAACACAAAATACCATTTGTTATCTGTAACTTAACAGATTACCAATTTTTGATTGGTTCTGTTTCGAACGATTCTATATTATATTCCATGTTGTTGTTTTCTTACACAGAGTTTGTTTCTTACAGTCGCAGTGTTTGATAAAAACTCGAAGAGCCTTCAATGCTTTGACCCACGGAATAATTCTTGGACCAAAATGCAGGTTGGCACTTTCAACTCAGTTATATCAGTCTAATCGTTATCGTAAATTTTCTACGTTAGTCTCCATTCTTACTCCAGATGGTTAAAAAGTAATGCTGAAAGCTTATGTTTTCCTGCGATTGGATTGCAAGATGGGGTTGTGGTAGTCCGGTTCGACCTATAGTATTGTTGCGTAACATATTATATTTCAACGAATGACTGTGTTTGGCCATCTTATCCTCTTTTCATTTCCCCCCTCCAGGATAGATTTAAACTTTGCTACCTGAGTTGTACTATTTCACTTTGGTACTCAATTGAAGTATGTAATATAGGATTTACATATTTAACCCAAGGGAGAGGAAAGCCAATAAGACGGCTTAATCATATGGCGGACCACGGCCTCTCCTTCATTTACCAGTCCATGTCGAATATGGGATTAGTTTTTTTGCAAGCATTGACTTGATGGTGGAGGAATTCGTAACCCAACCAGCGGTTATGTGAACTACCCTATAGTGGCGATGAGTCCAGCAATCCTCTTGCACATAACCATCCAGGCACGAGGTTAGAACCTGCGACCCCACGCAGGGTAATCAGAGGTGCGGTGGAGAGCGCATTACTAATGCTTAGCATGATGTGCCATTCGTGGACAAGGCCTTTTTAGGACGATTATTTGAGCGGGATTATATTCTCTCATCCCTCTATTTCATGCATCTGTATTTAGGTAAACATTTTAATCTTGTTTATTAATATTTTCCAGAACCCACCTGGATCAGAATTTCGCTTTTCTGCTGTGGCTCTTGGTGACTACATTTATGTTCTAATGGGAGATCGATCTGTCCATCGACTGAAATACTCAGATCATGAAGCTACTTGGGAGAGAATGAATGATATGATGTATAGCCATGGAGATTGTCCTCATGTTGCTGTTTTACCTGGTAAGAATTGTTTCAACAATTCTTTTGCTAAACAATATCTTGTTACCTTTGCCTCAAGACTAGTAATTGAGTTTTTTAAATATCCTGTTGCTGTTTTATTAGGTGAGAAGTTGCTTCAAGAATTCTTAGTACTGGTCTGTTTAAGGATTTAATGAAAAACATATTTTAATAGCATTTAGTATCTAATTCCAGTTCAGCCGTGTATTGTAACTACATCACTACATTGCGGGTGACCCAAAATTCAATTGAAGGCGTTGTGCACAAAATACTGATAATTTTTTTCTGATTTGTAAAACTCGTCACTTAATCAAAGTGTACAAATACAAATATATTTTCATATATGATGTTAATATATTAACACCATTGAAGAATTATGACACAATCTATCTGTGTAAGAAATCGTTGTTGTTTCATAAGATAAACAAGGGTAAGTGCCAAGAAAAAAATACCAAAATAATTAGGACAGAGTTACTTGCTAAAACACGCAGATCCGGAATTGAAAGGCCAAAGGACTTGAGTTTATTATACAATACACTAACACTCCTGTTTTAGGGTTATCCCACGAAGACTTATTTTTTAAGTGAATGTTTTGTCATTGTGTTATCTATTATTATGACATGGTATGTTCTTTACTTTATCTTCTATTATTTTACAAGTATCGTTTGCTTTCTACCATTGGTCTGAAATATAAATTGTTTACAGGAAACCTCTACGTTATTGGTGAACTTGATAGTTACTCAAAATCAGTTGAAAAGTTTGATCCATCAAGCAACAAATGGGAAAAAGTGAAAGACAAAAATCTCAACAGTTGTTATTCAACAGCACTGGGTGCTAGAGGTTAGAACAGGGGTGGGCAAACTACCCCAAATCCGGCTCGTGGGGTAATTCAATCTGGCCCGGATGATGCTGCCACAACCAAACTAAAACCAAATTTTGATGATTTAGCTAAATAATATATCAAGGAATTTGTTAAGACTGCGTTAAATTTAGTTTTGGTGCGAGGCTTATTGTTTTGCAGTTTGCTTTTGTAACACTGTGTAAACATTGTTCATAAAATGTAACTTTTACATCATACTTACATGGCCCGCCAGTCTAAGTGGGCAAAATTTTGGGCTCCTGGTCTAAATAAAAGCCTTGTCCACCCCTGGGTTAGAAGGTGTTGACTGGTAAATGTCATTTACGTTGAACTGGCTCAAAACAGGCAGGCACACAATAGAGTAATGAATGGAATTGTCGCTGGACCATATAAATCAACTTCAGAGATCTAGCTGGACCAATAAATGCTCTGCTTTACAGTAATAAGGGCATCGGACAAAACGGCGGAGTATTTAACGCATCAAAAGGAGCATAAAAACATGTAATTTTTTACCCATGTGGGCGACTATTTAAACATGAACTGTCGGATTAGCTCTTTATGCTTGATGGGGAAAAATGGGCAAAAAAGTGTTGACAAGGGCCACACTAGATAGCTTTGCGGGCACTAAATAGCTTTGCCTGTTGTCTAAACCAAACAGGAAAAATACCGTCTTTAACAGACCAGTAGGTTGTTTCGTATCAGTGGTTGCTTTTACAAAGTGTTTTTTTGAAGCAAACTTGCTATACACTTCGGTAACTAAAAAATGACTGCCAACAGATATCGGATTTATCAGTTTGTCCTAAGTTTTCATCGAATACCAGAATGCAGAAAACACTTGAAAGTAATAATCCCTGTTTAATTCCAGGTTGTATATACAGCATTGGTGGGTTAGTATCACGTGATGATACCAACCAAGTAGAAAGATTTGACCCAACATCATCAACTTGGTCATTTGTTGCATTCATGAATGAAGCGAAAGACGATGTCGCGGCTGTTGAAAATGAAGGAAAAATATATGTTCTAGGTAGGTTGGAGTTTGTTGCTAAAAATGTACGAGGACTCAAAAAAAAATATTTAGTTTCACTTAAAATAGCAATTAACCAGAATATTTCAATGACTGTGCTTCAAGGTATCAAATGCAAAGCCAACATGTTAAAGCATCGTCATGAACTGCTAATATTCCATTAATGTTCTTCTGCAAGATTGCAGAATTAAATTGTCATGTGACAAATCATGTTCAAATGTTTGTATACCTATATATTTACACGAATGCAAAGGTCAATCCGATAGCCGTGTAAACCCTTAAATACTTACGGTGCTGTTGCGTCCGTCTTACCAGAAATATTAACTAGTTAGGGTTGGAATTCGGAGTGATATTCTGACATTCATACCAGGTTCCAAAATCTTCAGTTCAGGCTAGTTAAATTTTCCGCATTATATTTATCACCTTGCAGTTGTTACCTGCCAACATGTTAGTTCACTATTCTCTCTTTATTTATTTATCGTCTTGTGTAGGTGAAATTGTCAATAGATAGATATACATTGTTTTTTATCATTCAGACAAAATTGCAAGCAGACATTAACAAACTGTTTATTTCATTCAGGTGGAGAGACGAACAATCACTTGACAACTGTTGTTGAACGATATGATATTTCAACAAACGTGTGGTCTATGGTAACTCCCATGTTAACTGAACGTAGCTGGTTCAGTGCTTTTGTGATTGATTCAAATATTTACGCAGTTGGAGGAATGTATAGGTAGAGTTATTGAAATTTATTACAACATAGTAGTGAGCACTAGTCTCTATTTCTGGGATTTTGTTCCGAAATACCTATTCACAAATAAATATTTGTTCGCCTGTATTCCTCACTACAAGCTTAGGGCCAATCTAGCCAGAGTCTATCTATATTGTCGACGCTTGCAGAAATAAACAGAAATCTTTATATTTTTGTGAATTTATTTATAACTTTGGATAGATGATAGAATTTGGTTTGAACTTAACTCTTTGTTCAGATAGAAGAAGCAGTATATTCATATTGCTTCCTAGGTATTTTGAATCAGAGTCTCCAACCTGCGGTATCCGGTCATTCATACTTTCATACATAAGGAGTCGAGTTAATATAGAAATTGAATATTTTTTTTTCAATGAATAGCCTAGCAACCATTTGTCTTGCAGAACTGAAATAATCTTCTCCGTATTTTTCAGTTCGCCAGGAAGCATGGAGAAGTTTGATTTCAAGAAGAATCAATGGAAGATGATTGACATGGAGAACATGAAACTGAGGATACGCAATGCAGTGAAGATTAATTTGAAGTGATTTGATTGTATGTGACAGAGAACAGCTCCTTGTGTTACCATTAAAGGACATGCTAGTAGATTATGTTTGCAATCTTACTATAATGAAATTGTATAATATACTTGACATTTCATAGGTGCTTGTGTTACCTCATAATTCACATATGGCATTGAGATATGCTTAGAACTGATGCAGAAGGAATTTATTTTAAATGGTTTTGTTTTATTTAACACCCTGAAGTTGTTTGTATCATTGCTGATAGAATTCTAATCATAACACTGATATGTAGTCAGAAAATTTACGCCCTGGTGAAAAATCTAGTCTTGCTTGATGAACATTTCGGCTGCTTTTCTCAACGGATAAAAAACAGAGTTTATAAACCTTACATCAGCCACGACTCCACAGCCCTGATTTAGTTTGCTTATCATTCAAAGTTAAATTTTGGCAAATTGGAGTGGGATTCTATATCCTTGTTATGTGAAATTTGTCACCAATACCTTAGGTCAGTGGTTCTCAAACTGGACGTCGCGATGCACAAGTGCGTCGTTTCAATATTGAAAATTTTCGTTATTCTCGTTTAAATCATACTTGAGAACTTGAAATGACAATATATTAATTATTGTAACAATCGATCTTATGTATATGTGACTTCACAAAAATCACGGATCATTCGATACTGTTCCAATTATGACATCACACAGGCTGAATCAGATCGAGTCATGCATGCCGTTCATTTCTAATTCTTTCATGAACATCAAGCGTTGTTCAGCACTTTGTCTGCGTCTTAATCTAAACATATCTTCAATATTGACACCATAGCAGTTCTCTTCAGGCATAATTTGAATAAAACTCATTGTAAAAGAGGTCTCTGCGCGGCGGTGTGGCTCAACGGGCTAAGCGTTAGGAATACGCTCGCCACCGCACCTCTAATTACTCTGCGTGGGTTCGCAGGTTCGAATCCCATGCAGGGATGGTTATGTGCGAGAGGATTGCTGGACTCCTCGCCGTCGTTGGGTGGTTCACGTAACCGCTGGTCGGTTATGGCTTCCTCCACCACCAAGTCCATGCTTCCGAAAACAAACAATATAACTAATCCCATACCCGACTTGGAATGGTAACCGGACGAGAGGCCGTGGTTCGCCATATGGATAAGCCGTCTTATCGGCTTTCCTCTCCCCCGGGATAAATATGTAAATCCTATCCTGTCCTCTTATTGAAAGATATCCAGACATTTTTCACGGAGAGTCGCAGCTTGGCCATATTTTTTGGAGAGCGTCGCAATACCAAGAAATTTGAGAACGACTACCTTATGTCATTGGAAGCGAGTGTTATATATATAGTCATTGGCCTGTAAAAATGATGTTGATTTATTATTCCCATTCAGTTTTTTATGCCATTGGATATTATCTGGGTATGAAATATTGTCTTGTGCATTCTTCAAGCGGTTTCTTCTTCAATTGAATTTACTCATACTTGACAAAAATCTGTGAATCAATTGCAATTTACATGTTATCAGATGACTTTACCGCATAATGTGATATTAATAATATATTCCTCAAAGTTCATCCTTAATATCCAGTGCATTGATGCTTCAAATAAACCTTATACCTCTAATCCGCAATATTCATATTTGTATGTTCGTTGTGGTAATTGTGGTACATATCGAATTTTGCTTTCAGTATGTACTAATGATTTCAAATATTTTCATCTTTGCTGTATATTTTATCGCTTATATGCAATCAATACTTTACTACCATGCATCTATCGCTGAATTCGATTCTTCATTTTTTTTATCTGATTTGAAAATCCACTGCATGATCCGCCGCTCTGTTTTTTTAATCACATAGTTTGAATTGATTACGTTTTATGCATTCCAAATGTTTAAATCTTACATTGTGAGAAAACGTTATTAAATAAACTAACGAATAATTAATTTTTCCATTTCTCAAATTCCATGTCAATTAGGAGGATTGCTTTGGTTTACAGCGAAAATTTGTTTCTTTGGTTTCAAGTAAAAATTTATTGTTGTTGGACCTGGAAAAGACGATTGCACTTTACATGTACGTTATTGTGATAAAAAGTAAAAACATATTCATGAAGAAGCGGAATTCTAGATCAAAAATTTTACAAACTATTTACTTTTCTCTGAAATTAAAATAACTTTTCAATATTTTTCCATTTTTTAATCCTATTTCTCCCATTTCATGAGATCTTAGCTGATTTTAGCTTCGTCGTCTGTTTTATTCTCGGGGACGTTTTTCGAAACTTTACTGAAAACTACCAAATAAACTCGAAATTAGGAAAACAAGTAAATGTTTATAACCATGCTTAAGAATCTGTCCCAATATGGAACGCCATTGGTCAATTTCAACTATTCAATCACCGGAATCTTATTGCTTCTTTATTCGAGCTGATGAATTCAATAACAAGGAAGTCGATCCAGAAAACAAGCTGCCGCAATAACATATTCAAGTAAATACATAATATAGCAGGGATATGGCCTGTAATAAAATGTTCGATCATTCCCTAATCAAATATCGTGGCTACTTATGAATATTGTCAATAAAATAAATATATTATATGCAATATATTCAAGTAGTCGCTGTTAGTTTGAAAACCCATGCGACTCCTATTTACATGGAAAAAGAAGTTCACATACGTCCGTCTTTTGGTTTGTTTACGTCAGAATTTTAAAACTATTTCGTTTACGTCCGCTTCTTATTGGCCCATACCTGAGTAAAGTACTGGCCATCATTGAAATCATATACAATTATGATGGTGCGCCAGTTAACAGCTATTAGACACCGTGCAACTGAAGCTTTTGCAAAACTTGTGGCATAAAATTTTTTTCATTGGGCTACGCTAAAATACTTCATGATGCGAAGACGTAACAGTGATGATTACAAATCAAGTGTGAACTCAAGCGACAAATATCATTGAATCATTGATATAAATTATGAGTCAAAATTTCATTCAAGTGGTTGTTTGGTTGACACAAGTTGCCGCATACCCGCCAAAAAATGCGCAAACAAAGGTCACCGTCAACCCTATTTGCATAAAAATTAGTCAAAATGACTTATGCAGGTCTCAACAAGGAAGTATAAACAAAGATGATTAGTTCCACCTGAAGCGAGAATATTTTAGGTGTTCGCACAATTTTCTCCCACTACCGAAAGTTTGTCAGAGAGAGAGAGAGA